GAAAACATATGGTATAAGAAAAGCGATTAGAAACTATTAACCTTATGAATTTCAAATCATATCACATTAAACATTACTTCACAACTTCATATTTTGGTCAGAAAAAATATACAAATAAGTAAACTAATTCAAACTAAAGAATACTAAGAAAAAATATATATCTGCTCTTTGAATTTCCAATGCTAGTGTTGAGCGTTATTTGTTCGTCAACGCTGATGGCTGCAGGAAATCGATTCTGCCGCTTATAAAATCTAGTTTTAATACTGCCCTCCAAATCTCTATGGTATATACATTCCACAAACCTCTCGATTATACCCATATCATCCTGTTTGGCAAAACATTCATGTTTCTGTCTATATGGGTTAGACAACAAAAATAAGATATCCAGCTTTTTATATCGCGTTGTATAAATTTTGGTGGAATATATTTATGATGATAGATTAGGTAAACATAAAGCTGATTTATTTAAAGTTGCTTTGAGAGAATTTTCATAAAATGTTAACATTAGGTTGACATGGACTATTAAAAAAATTATAGTAAGAGTATACAGGTCAATATTTGTTTACCAATTATAAAAACCTAAAAGCGTTTTTAATCATATGTACAATCGTTTAATATGGGAAAGCTATGTTCAATGTTTAATATGTTTAACTCTGTTTAAGATTAAACTACTTACGTTGTTTTTGCACTTCAAAAAAGAAATTTAGCAAAAAAATCAAAAAGAAATTAGATATCAAATCAACATTTTTCAAGCTTTGTACAGCTATCGATAACCTCAGCATTAGGTACTCTACATTAGTATAGAGACTGTGAACTCAAAAGTTTTAATTAGTCATTAAATTAAGGGATATTCTAACTGATGAAGTGAATTTAGTTTTCTGATTGAATTGTTGGGGAATATTACGAAAATTTCTTTAGTGTAGTCTTTTCTTTGATATATTGGCACATTCTTTGCTTCCACTGAACGTTTTACATATATAGATAATATAATACCAACTTTCTCATAATATTTTTTTCATTACTTAGACAAAAGAATCCCCTCGCATGCCATTTTGCTAGAAAACACATTAAATATGAATAATTAATAACTTAGTAGTTTAAAATTTCATAAAAAATTTTAATCTTTATATAAATACTATTACTATAAATACTAATATAAATAAATAAATAAATAAATTTCTGCAATATTTTTTTCTATATGAACATAATTTTAGCATTCTCTGCTTCAAATAAGATTATTAGCAATAGAATAAGTATTAAAACATCGATTTTTTTCTCCTTGTTGACATCGTTCAGGCTTTGCGCCATAAACCTTCCCAATTCATCTCATTTAATCTCGATGAGTTGATCTCCGATCCCTCCATCACCTTTCTATATAACCGTGGCTCTCGTAACTCTGGTCATGGAGTCTACCTTTAGTACCCTCGCGCTTACGCTAGAACCCCATTCCTTTCACTACCCAATCTCCCAATTTTATGCCCATGCTTTCTGACTTAGGTGAACCTAGCTTGCTAGGTATTAAGTCTATTCACTCTCTTCTCTCTCCCTCGTCTACTGGAATGAAGTTTCCTCATTGCTGTGGAAATTTTCTCCTTTCATTTCTTAGAGTTGGTTTAGTCGGTTCAAGTCTCACACGGTAGCTTTCGATGCTTCCACCTACTGCAAAAAAAACATTAATTATTTAATTACAATAAAAAATTACAATAAAATTTGATTTTTTTTAATTTTTTTGCTCTAATATGTTATCTCTAATGTATATCTAATATAAATACAGAAACAAAATCTTACAACGCCTTGAAAATAAATATCAAGTCCGCTCTTGTATAAAAAAAACATTGCCTTGCCTTTTGCGTTGGTAAGCTGTCAATGTGATTTAATTTCTTACTACTGTTTTAATTAGTTCTTTGCACTGCTGTTCATTAATTGTGTGTTACACAAACTTCTCTGCATTTATTATGGTATTGTGTTGTGTTGTTGTTGCGTATTTGTTGTGTATTTGTTGTGTATTTGTTGTTGTTTCTGCTTAACAAACTCTGTTAGGAATAGTTTTCAGCCAGTTTGTTCTGTTTTTGCATTGCGTGTTTACTTATTGCCATTTTCTTCCTTGCTGATTCGTATTAACTGTTATTCAGTGGGTTTTTTTACTCGAATTCATGAGCATTTGCTTGTGTGGTTGTGTGTGTAGGAACTGCTGTTGCTGATTTGCCAGTATATATCGTTTCACCGTCATCGTCACTGTCATTCCCAGCACAGCTGAGCAAGATGAAAACAGTTGTCGTTGAGTTGTTCTTGAGTGTGGTTGTGTAAAATCAGTTAAGCTTAATATTTGCAAATAAGTTGGTAAGTTCTTGTGTAAAATGTTGTCTATATTACTATCGCATAATATTACATATTAATTAGAAAATATTTGTGTTCATTGCGTTTTGTATTTAATGTTGTTGTTGTACTTTTTTTTTATTTCTGCAAATGTTTTGTTTCAAAACTATAATAATTTTGTTGCAAAAATTATTTGTGCGTCTTTGTTGTCGCCGCCGCTGCCACCGCTGCGACCGCTGCCACCGCCCACCGCAATACACGGTCAAAGACTTATCATGATATTGTCTTTGGTGCTTTCTTTACTCACCATTGTTTTGCTTTTCTTTTATTTTGACTGTTGATTCTGACTTTTTCCAGCTATTTTATTAGTTCAACGAACTTATTTGATAATTGGCGGTGTTCTTGTTTGTGTGTATATGTGTGTGTGTGGTGATGCTGCTGCTGCTGCTTTAATCTTTTGCGCTTTCCTGTATAAAAAAATTGTTATTGCATTTTTATTCGTTTTGTGTGGCGGCGTTTGTTCTCTTTTTAGTACTTCAGCGCACAGCTGTTATTTTGCATAATTTCTGTTTGTTGTTGTTTATTTGTTTTTGTTTATTTTCGTGTAAGTTGCATTTATTTTTGGCTTATTTAATTTGGCAATAATTTAATTTGTTTATTGCTGCACACATATTTTTATTTTTTTTTTCGTTATGTGCAGCTAATTTTGCATAAATTTTTTTTCTGTTTTTAACGTTTTGTTAGTATGAAAATATTCTCTTATATGTCTGTCATATGACAAAATCAAAATGAAAATTATTTTCTGCCATATCCATCAAGAATATTAAATGTGCTGTATATATAAATTATATATTCATTTTATTTTATCATATATTATTCATACCAATTGTGTTTTCATTATCTCTTCATTTGTTTACGTACATAAATTATCCTCTTGCAAAATGTAACGCTTTTGCACTCAAAGTTGCCTTTGTTGTCTTCAACAACAAAAAAAAAAAAAAAAAACTGCATTTCCCTTTCCTTCTGTAATGTTAATTTTATGTACACAATTTTCGTATGTTACACACCTATACATATATATAATATATATGCACATGTGTATACATATTTTAGTATATTATTTCTTTGTTATAAATTATCATATCTATCCGTCCTTCACTTTATAAGTCTGTCCGTCGTGGTGTAACTGCTCTTAATGTTGCTGTTGTTGTTGCTGCTGCTGCTGCTTTTGTTGTTGTTTTTGTTTTTGCTGTTGCAATTTTACAATCCCCAATTTTTTCTTTTTTGTTTTGTTTTGTTTCGTTTGCAGTTTGTTTTTTGTTTGCTGTGCTGTTGCGCTTCTTTGTTTACACTTTTTCTAGTGGTTCTCATATGTTTACACATTTGGTTTTCTTTTTATCTCTGCGTCTGCAGCTGTTTTTTTAGACACTCCAAAGTTGTTTCTTTTCTCGTCTCGTCACGTTTCTTCTATGAAATGCATTGGATTTATCTCTTTTTTTTTGCTGATTAAGCAAACAAGTTTTGTTTTTGTTTTTATTTTTTTTTTTTTTTGAGTTTATTCATTTTTCTCTGAAAATTCTGAAAGACGAAACGATCTCAAAATATAAATATAAAATCATTTACCTTCATGTACGTACATAAGTGCATGTATAATTTATTAAAAAAAGGTTTTCTATTTAAATTGATATATAAAACTTAAATTAGTAAAATTTATATTGAAAATAATATCAATGAAATAAAAGACAATAATGAGGTTTTTCGAACAGTAGTGAACTACAACAACAAAAATTCAGTTCATATTATTTTAATTGATTTAATTAATTTTTTTAACCATACAGCTGTTTCAAGTATTGCCAAATATCCATCAGTGGTCTTGGAAATAATTCTTGTATTTATTTATTCGTATGTAATTTTTTTTTGAGACTGCAAGTACCAGAAATCGAACTCGTGCCCTGCCAATTTTGAAGCACAGAGTCAGCGCTTCTTAACCAACTGACCGAAAGCCGTACTTGGCTTTTATGTTTGCATATTTTTCTGGAGTTTTGTTTCTTTGCTGTGAAAGTTTTATTAACAAATTTACTTGCTGTGTTTATATTAGAACGAAAGACATTAATAAAAAACAAACTCCCTCTAATGATCATTAGGGAAATTTAAAGGATAAAATAAAATGATAAAATAATAGGCAAATTTGTTTTTGTGGAATTACAATGTTAACAAATTAACGAATACTCGATAAATCTCATAACTGTTTCGGTTGTCAAAAATATAATCAATTGCTTTGACAGTTTTATTTAACTCCTAAAAAGAACAACGTCTTCCATGTGCAGCATGAACTTTCCGAGCTCAATTGAGATCAGGATATTTAGATCATGTGCTAAACATTTGCTTGTTACGCATAAATGTAACAATTACGAATATGTGCCCTAACTGTACCTCTATCCCCCATGTTGTCGTCTATCTGTTTTCCTGCTCCAACATAAACACAAACTTAGGCCTAAACTTAAATGCAATACAACTTCTTTTGCTTTCGATTCTTATTAAGGCTTATAGGTCTATTACACATTTCCACTGCAGCTAAAACTACTTAGGTTAATCAAATTAAGATTGGGTCGTTTCCATTGGCATAATCTGATTTATGCATGCGAAATAGCTTGTTTGTTTACATTTTACAAATGTACATATAAAACATATGGCATTTTCCAATTTCCAATTGAATTTGACATTTTTCGCCTTAAAACCGTTATTTATTTATAACGAGCTAATTTATATGAAAACTTTTTGTATAATAAATTATATTCATTAGCGGTCTTAATGAGCAAAACTGTTATTACTTTATTTTTAAGTAGGCTAAGTTGATGCTAAACCAAATGGGAGTTTTTTTGGGATTTTTTGCACTGCACACATTTAGCCATTGATCAACACGTATCGACACATCACTACATTATCGGCTCAACTTAGAATTTCCCTCATTTAGAACGCAACTTAGCCTAACTCGCACACGTCCTTAGTAAGTTATATTTAGTAAGCAATGGATACATTATATTAGAGTACTTTGTTTTACTTAGAATTTAAATATGTTAAAATATTGTAATGGATGTAACCTTGTATTTAATCTCATGTATCCAGTCACTGAAAATACTACAATATTGACATCTATTTCGCGATGTATATTTTACTTCATATTACAATGTAGATCTTCTAAATCTGTAATCTGCTATGTTAACATTATTTATTTGCAGTTTTGAAAGCATATAGTATGTTATTTTCATTAAATTATAATATTGACTTTCAATTACTGGTTCTACGTGTATTTTATGTATTATTGTTCGTCATCGTACTTGGGCATAATTGATATACCTATGTTGGTTTCTAGATATTAATTACATGTAATTTTAATTTTGTCAAAATTAAGCTTATTTCAGTATCCATTATTGGAGCGGAAAGTAGAATAATTTCTAAATACTGATGAAAATCCTCAGAGCTCTACATAAGCAAGAGCGTGTTTAATATATTATATATAATTTATGATGTGCATTATATAATCAGAAATTTGAGTAATTGCTTGAAAAATATATTTTTAATGTTTAGGACGTGTGCGAGTTAGGCTAAGTTGCGTTCTAAATGAGGGAAATTCTAAGTTGTGCCGATAAAGAAGTGATGTGTCGATACGTGTTCATAAATGGCTAAATGTATACAGTGCAAAAAATCCCAAAAAATCTACCATTTGGTTTAGTATCAATTTAGCCTAACTCTCACACGTCCTTAATCATTAGTACAAGCAATGTAAAAACATTATTTTCGATTTTGATGGTGTGTAGTGTGTGTATAATATAATTTTTTACATTTTATAATGTTATATGATGTAATGAAAATATACTATAAGATTAATTTGCGAAGCAATTAGTTGGTTTTATCAACTATGTTCCGTAATTGCGGTTTTCTTGCGATTATTCTTCGTGTATATAATTATTCATTCATTAGCTGATCCAATATTTTTATATATACTTTAAACTTTTATAACTTTTAAAGCGCTTTAGTTTTCAAGTTCAGTAGAAAATGTTTTATAAAATTATTGATAAATATTTTACTATGTAAATTATTGATAAATATATCTACTATGTATTATTTTATACAAACTTAAGACACCTATTATAGATTTTAATTTTTATAGATTAATATTTGCCAAAAAGGATATCGTTTGAGTTATTGTAATAAGATATTATCAAGTCTGATATCATTAGAAATGTATTATTGACTTCAGTTTCTAGAATAATCAATAAAAATGCGTTAATATTGAATATTCTGCACAATAAAGTTAAATTAAAAGCCTATATATATAATATCGGATATCAGCTTGAAATATTTAATCAATATTTGTATTTAAATATTTGTAGTATTCAAATGCTAACGAAAAACAAAGCGTTAATACATAAAGTAATAGTCTTTTTAAATGAAAATAGAACGAAGATATAATATAATAATAATACTAATCCCAAGTATTTATTTTAACGATAAATTAAACTTTCGAAAAATCAAACTTCTCCTAAATCAAAATTTCAATAAATCAAACATCCGACGCATAAATTCAAGGAAAAATCAGAGGGTAAAGATTTACTATAACATAAGTGCTGTAAAAATAAATTTATCTTCAGGTCCTTTATTATTTTTTTAAGTTTGATGTCGACTAGGTTTCACGTAATACCAGACATTGTGTTCCATTATTCCTCAAATCTTCTTCTCATCTTCATTGCCTTAAATGGTTCGAATTCGACTTTGTTCGACTTCAACTTTGTTCGACTTCGACTTTGTTCGACTTCGACTTTGTTCGACTTCTGTTATGGTGTTTTCATTAATATCTAACTCAGTTGATATCTGGAGATAACGGATTTGAAGTTTTAAAGTCCGGTATATTAACTACGTTTTAACGTGTTTAGGTCTATGTTTTTTAATCGCTGTACTACTATAGTTGTTTGATAGGCCTAACTTTTGCATTTTATCATCAATATTGCCTTTCAAAATAATCGAATTAATTTTGTGTGTTAGTGGATCCGTATAAATTAACGATAATACCACTTTAAAGTTTCATATTATAACAGATCTCTCACAGTATTTATGGTTTTATAACAGACTATTGTAGCTCAGAAGGGAGAAGTGAACATCACTCGTGAACATCGTACTTTTGCCTCCGATTTTACGTGGAACTTTTTAATCTAAGATATTTTTATGGAGTGCTTTTCTGCTGCTATGGGGACTAAATGATATTCATGACGTTTGTACAATATTTTTTGCACTTGCACTACAATTTTTAATTAATCTCAGAGTAATTGCTAACCGCACGGGACGGTACGAAGATCTTAGATCAGTCATTAAAAAATCACGAAGCTTTTGAGAAATACACAAATTAGTCAGTGAGATGGGTGGGATTTTGCAGAAACCCCTCAGCCATCATAGAGTAAAAGTGCCCAGATGCGCTAAGTCGGAAAATACTCAACATAAGTAACTTTTACTTTCTTGATCATACTTCTAACTTCAATCTTACTTAAACCCTTTGGTCCTTAGTATATTTTTGACGATGACTTTATTTGTTTTTCTTTTAGGGATTATATTAATGAATTTATCAATTTCGCGAAAGCTTTTTCTCTTCTATATAAATTTTCACGTTACAAGATTTAAAATAACCTAACTTATTATTGTATGATAGTGATAAGGAGGAATTTATTGTAGGTACATTTTTTAATAATAATAAAATTATATCGATCTATTTATTTTGAAATATTTCACTTCCATTGCTAGACACTTTAATTATTAAAGTGTATTATGATTTAGGATTCTTCTGCCATTTCTCCGTTATGAGTTTAAATCCGTTTACGTAGTAGACATCTACTTCGGTACTTTTATTCCGTTTTTTGTGTTATCTTATGAGTATCACGGAAGGTCAATCGTGTCTGTCCTCCTATATTGCATTTTAAATTAGTTGTGTTTTGCTATATAATATTTTTTGTAATATAATTTATTTTTAAATGTTTAAAGCTTTGTTTTATTATATTAAGACTATGTTAGTAATTTATTTTATGTTTTTGTTTATCGGTTTTTAAGAGTTTCTTTTCTTTTAAATATAAAAAAGATATTACCTTGTGATTTTTTTTCGAATATGAAACTGTTTAACTTTGGATAATCTGAACTTAAGTCCACACTCTATGGATATGTTTATATAGAGATTTCTTCAGAAATATTTTGTGAAAGTGCTTTTTCTTTTATTTACATACTTTTAATGATTTATTGTTGTAATGACCAAAATTTTTAATACTAATTTTGTTTTTAAATTAGACTAAAGTATCCTGAAGATGACTATAGAATATACTCGAATGAAATGTTTTTTTTTTCTAAAAGTGTGTTATTTGACAACTGTTCAATGAGTGCGATTTAAAAACATAATTTATTTACTTTTTTAATTGCTTCCGTTTTTTTTAAGTGCTGACAGCTATATCTCTATATCTCCTTTTCTTCTCCCAGTACTGCTTAATCTGTTTTCGCATTTTATTTTATTTATCGCTTCAAGTAACATACTGTTCAATACTTTTTCCTAATTTTAAGTGCAGTAAGTTGATGCTTTATCTATTGTTTAATGTATGTGTTGAATTAAGAACTGGCTGCTAGATGAGTTATTCCTATATATACGGTCACACAATAAGTCAAAAGGCCTAAGTACATCCCATAGTGATCGCGATATAACTTAACCTAACCTAAGAACTGGCTGAGGGTGTGTTTTTTATAATTAAATTTATGAAAGTATAGTTACCTGAGAAATTATGTTGTAATTATCTTATTATAAAAGATTTTTAATGCTTCTATTGCATCAAAACATAAAAATATTTACAAGTAAGTCCACTTTGTTACTTCGAATTAAGCTAAATCATAATCGATCTTCGAAAATATTTGCTTTTCTTAATCTGTAGACTTTTTTGGATTTTTTTGTTTGGTGGTTTTATTAACATAGTCTCTATATAATTTATTGGATTTTCCATTATCAATTGTCTTTGGAACACTATTAGTCCTTATATACTTTTTTGGACAGTTAGATCGGGGCTATCCTATCCAATTTGAAACATTGACTTGCATATTTGTCCTGTCAAAAAATAGAAATAGTTTTTATTTAACTTTGAGTAAATATTATAATCATTTTTAATTTTCTCTTCATTCTGTGAAATTTTTAAAGTTTTATAATTAATAATGTAGGGTCAAGTTTTTATTATTAACCCATTTATTTCATATTTAAATTTTACTTAAGCTGAAAATATTTAATAATTTAAACAGTAAAATATATTTAATAACACAGCTCAATCTTCAATCATTCTTCTAATAGTTCACTAATAAATAAGCGTTTTTATTAATGCTCAATTAATTTCAACTTGAATCTTTTCTTTAATTAGATTTTATTTTATGTGTCATAATACAGCAGTTTGATCTATATTCTCGTTATTGAAATATAGTTAATATATGATATTTTATTCATTATTCATTTTATATTAAAAAGTTTCTTTTATGGCTCAAAAAATTTTTTTATATATATCATTTAAAAAAATAAATAGTTTTAGTTAGATCCATCTTATCTTATCTGTTATGTTGAGCCTTTACCGAATTAGTGCATCTGGGCACTTTTATTTTATGATGGTTGGTGGGTTTCTGCAGAGTCCCACCCATCTCACTGACTAATTTGAGTATTCCTCATAATCTTCGTTATTATTCAATGATTTATCTAAGATCTGCGTACCGCCCCGTGCGGTTAGTGATTACTATGAGATTAGATAGTGCTAAGTAGGGCAGCCTGTCGGTTTTCGCATATAGCTTCTTCTCCTCATTAAAATATAGTTAACAACACGGTTAACATATCTATAGCTCTGTTATAAATACTGAAGGAGAACAGTTCTTTTTACAAGTACATCTATATAGACGTGGGTCTTTTCTTTTATATCTCAAAAAATTTTTATTTTATTTATTTATATATTTATAATACATTTAAAAAAATCTATGTTCTCTAATACCGATCTTCTCATCATTGAAATATATTTCATAACATATCTATTTTAACTTAGATTGTTTATTTTTAAAAGCTTAAAATATTGTATTCTATTTTTTTTCTCATGTAAAATTTAAACATATATTATCTTCATCTATTCTCTCATTATTAAAATAGAATTAACTACACAAGTAAATTATTTATTAAGTTCTGGAATAAATAGTGAAGGTTCTAAATTTTCATTACAGGTTGATATTTTCCAATGTGGATCTTGTCTTTTGTTAAACGTAAAATTTTTTATTTTTATTTCTACATTATGTGATTCCTTTAACACAATGGGCCTATAGGCCTTAGTGGTTCCCTTGGTATCGCCGGTATAACCTATTTTATATAGTGATTATATATTTATATTATTTTTATAATATTTATAAAGTTATCTCTATACGTTTTTACAAAACTCAAATTTAGTTAACATGGGTAAAACATCTATAACTCTCTGGTAATTCTTGGTGATTCGAAATTTTTATTATTATTTATATCTATTTCAATTTGGATAATTTTTTCTTGTAAAACGTATAATATTTTTTTTATATCATTTGTAATTATGAGACAATTCTTATCTGGTTCCATCTGCTCATCATTTAAATGCAGTTATCTTTATACAAACAGTTTTTATATTTTCACTCTCGTGCGGTTTAGAACAAAAGTATAATACTTTTAGATAATACTGGCTGGTATATCACCCACCTGCTTATCTCTATTTATTTTTGTCATTAGTCACAAAATTATTTTTAAGTTATATCTTTATCAATAATGTACCTATATGAGTCTACAAAAATAAATGAAAAAATCTGCTTACAAAGCTTCTATACTGGAATGGAATGTATATTTGTTTTGTAATAACTATATATGTTAAGATATATTTCAAAATATATATGAAATATAAAGTCGAAGGTTTAGAGTTGCTCAGAAGACCTAATGTTGTCTGTGTCATGATAAATAAAAAAATGCTGAAGTTTCATAAAAATTTTGACAAAAACAACTAAACAAACAGATTTTGAATGGGTTTGTTTTCATTCATAAAACAATAAATGATACGGTGCTGACCTGACCCTCTCCACTTCGTCAGCATTTAATAATATTTTTAGTGAAACATCATCTGGTTATTTCAATAAGAAATAACCGATTTGTTTATGTAGAATTGTGTGTTGGTTGTTAATGGCCGGCCAACCGAGATCGGTCGGCTGTTTTCTCTGCTTTGTAATTAGACTGCAACAAATGTTTTGCTAATATTTTACTTATAAATATGAAAATGCCTTTCTAATAATGCAACTATTTCTGTATAAAATATAAAATATTTTTTGTTTTTTTTTTTTACAATTTTTATTTTTAATACACTTTAAATAATTTGGCGTTGTTGTTGTTTGTCTGTGCATTGCAGGAAATCTGAAAATTCAGCTCTGGAAAAATAGTGCAGACAATTTGGTTTTGGCTTCGGTTTGATTTTGTTGTCCGGCAGGAGTTTGTATGTATACACAGTGGTGCTGGCACTGGTACTGGCATACTCAGACGCCGTCGTCGCGCACAGCCTAATTGGAATCGAATCAACGTTGCGGGAGGTGCTATACACCGGTGCGGGAACACAATCGGTTTTGGTAGTAGTGCTAATGCAGTCAGCAAAAACAGACTGAAAAAGTAAACCTTATCAGAGTGAAGAGATAAAAATACAAATTATATTATTGAAAAAACAACAAACGCCGCACCAAACCATACCAGCAACGGGCAGAAAACAGACAGAAAAATAATAATAAATCAGCAGCAAAGCAACTGTATTGTCAGTCTGAAAGAATTCGAAAATATCAGAAGTACTACGGAGCTATAGTCACAAGCCAACGGCGACGAGGCGCAGTCAGTCGTTTGTGTTGCATGCAAAGTGAAGTGAGCGATATTGCGGAGTCTACAGAAACTAATCCAGCAAGAGTTTTGATAAAAAAAAAAGTGTAATAAGTTTTTGTACACGAATCTTAATCGAATACTCATAGAGAAATATATATATATATATAATAGTAAGTGCAATTAAAATATATTTTCAATAATAAAAATAAAAATAAAAATTTATTTTATATATTTTAGATTAATAAACAGCAATCTATAACAACCAGCTTACATATAAACACGCCACTATAAAACAATTCAACGGTTTATAATACGATATATAAAGGAAAAAGCCAAAACGAAAAAATGGTGAAAACATTTCAAGCCTATTTACCGTCCACCAATCGGACTTATTCATGTGTTCACTGTCGAGCTCATCTCGCATCTCACGAAGAACTTATCTCGAAGTCATTTCAAGGCAGTCAAGGACCTGCGTATCTCTTTAATTCCGTCGTCAATGTAGCCTGCGGTCAGACGGTAGAACGCGTACTGCTAACTGGTCTGCATGCTGTGGCCGATATCTATTGTGAATGCTGCAAAACACCGTTAGGCTGGAAGTATGAGCACGCCTACGAGTCCAGTCAGAAGTATAAAGAGGGCAAATATATCATAGAATTGGCTCATATGATTAAGGAGAATGGTTGGGATTGAGCGTCAGTGCATATATAGGCTTAAATAATAAAAAAATTTATTATATATATATATATATCAAAACAAATCAACCACAACAACATTTAACACAAAAACTCAAAATTCTACTCATGAGGTATGTAGCAGAAGAGGAGTGTGTGTGCGCGATGACGAATAATGAATTGGAGCGTTTCGAGGTTGTACGTTTGAAGCTTCGTATCGTTGACGTAGTAACGTTAAGTTTCGGTAAACAAAATAAAAATTTAATAATTTACAAGAAAATTATGCATATTCCTCTACCAAAAATAGACAAAAAACAAATTTAAAACAAATAAACAATAAGCAAAACGCAAAAGTATACACATTCATAAAAGCAAATATGCCACATATATAGCTGTGCATATATCTAAATCAAATATTAGTAAAACAGCTATCGCCTAATTTTCAAAGTAAAGTGTTTTTATCTTTTTTACGTTAAAAGTTAAAAGTTGTTAAATTTTTTAAGATTAAATGTTAAAAATTACTTTTAATATTTGTGTGTCGGACCAAACGAAAACGTTAATTGCAAATGCAAATGCAACGCCAACGAAAGCTAATGCTACGGTAGCTTAACTCAGCTTTTGCAGTAACTCTGCTGCAGTATCTTTGCAGTACTTTCGCTCTCAATCTGCTGCTGTATGCCGTATGCCGTATGCTGTATGCTGTATGCTGAATATATCTACACTTGGAAATTACACTTCAATACTTAAGTCCACAATTTTGTACTTTCTGAGACTCAAAATACTCTTCTTTCTTCTTAAGTTCTAAAAATTTTGCTACGAAATAAGACTACTTAAGGCTTCAACAACTGTTTCGCTCTAATTGTTAGTATAAATTACAAAAACAAAAATAAAAGTATATCAATTAATATGTAAGAGAAAAAAAAATTAGAAACTTGAATTAATTTTTAATTTTAATTACATTGTACTTTTAGTTAATTATATACAATTTAAACATTAAGTCTTGTATGTTCATGAACACTTCAAACTCTTTAAAATATGCTCTCATTCATTTCCTATCAAAAAGAAAAACAATAATATTTTTATTAATTAGTTTGAAATAGAAAAATTTATAATTAATTTATATTAGTAATAATTAAATAATTTTCTTTCAATTTTTTTTCTCAAATTAATGAAAGACAAAAACAAAGATGTATGTGCGATAACGTTTTAATGTAAACAAGCGATTAGTTAAAACAAATTTAAATCTTAATTAATTATTGTATTGTATTCATAATTAAAAGTAATTATTAAATAATAAGTAATTAGTGTTAGAAGTCTTTTGCAGCCTGTATTTGTTGAAGTTAAGCAAATTGTTTAGGAAAGAGTAATTTGAAAGTATATACTACTTATACATATATGAATATGTTTGAGATTGATGTGAATATATTTTTATAAAAATTAAAAA